CTCGTCGGATCTACCCCACTCTCTGACTACTCCCACACCTGAACCCGATGTCAAAACAAAAGTCAAAACCGGAGATAGGGTGAGAGGGAGGGGTGCAGGCGGTGTATTCGAAACACACTCCAACATGCGCCACAATAACACCACCTGGCTAAGTTGGCTTCTGCCTGGAGGCGCCAAAAAGGACACATTAGGAAGGAGCCATTCAGAAAAAGACGACTCGATCACTGGGACAATACTTTTATTCGCCTGACGTTTCGATATCCGTCAGACAGAGACATAGACAGAGAACAATAGCAGATAGGAGCCATTGAGCCTGGCTCTCAGCCCGCAGCAAATCACTCCACTCAATAATACACACTGGACTGACTGCGGTGTCCAAGTTATTCCATTAGTTGACAACGCCCCAAACCACGGCTTCTAGCGTACCCGGATAGCTTCAAGCACATCAATTTATTTTTAGTGAGGAAAGAAATTTGCTGACGGTCGACCTCACTCTCTCTCCCACCGTCAGCAACAGGCCAACGCCTAGCTGATCGGTCGCCTGAGGTGGAAAAGGCGCAGTGCTAACGGCGGACACAGGCACACACACACACACACACACACGCACGCAGTGACAACTCATTAACTGAACGGAAACTTGTCAAGCGAAACAGAGTTCCTGCAAGTGGATCGCTCGTTAACTGAAATGTTCACAGCTGCTGCTGCACGTCACACGAAGCTCCGCTGTACTTAAATTTGGAGTCCACTCAAGTCTTAAATTTGCAGGCACGCATACAGTCAACTTTGTCAGCACCTTGCTATTATATTTTGCATTCAAAAGCTTTCGCACATATTTACTCTTCCTCAAGCATATTGTGCTTTAAAAATATGAAACCACCGTTTTAAAAGAGGAAAATGTCTGAAATTCGTACAATTATGGAATATGACTTTTTTTACCTGAAGACAGTATTGCAGACAGTTTGAAATAATAAGGATGTATTCTGCTGTTAAATTACTGCGTAACAGACCGTCTCAAATTGATTTGCAAGATTTTGTTCTGGTTACTTTGACCTCACGAATGAGTCACGGGTTCGGCCGGACGCCGACGGTCACTGCCGAGTCAAATCCAGCTCAAAGTCTACATGGATTATCGTTGATGTGTGGTGTGAGCCAGGAAACAATATTAACTCGCCTAACTGGAATCAGTAAAGTAAAAAAATTAAATAGCTAGGTTCTACATGAACTGCATGAAAGGCAGAAAAACCCACGTTTGAAAGCTTCCACGATATTGCCTTCTCGGCATGAAAAGGATTCATTTTTGAATCGGATTACAATGGATGAAATGATTGATAACCGTAAACGTTCGGCACGGTGGGTAGACAAAGGAAAGTCACTTAAACACAGCCTAAAGGGCAATACAAATCCAAGATGCAAATGTTTGGTGTTTGGTGGTCTGGCACAGGTGTGAGTCATTATGATGTCATGAAAAATGACGCCTCCATCGCAGTAAAAGTATACTGAAACCAACTGGACTAAATGACGCAAAAATTTGCAGAAAACCAGGCCTAGCTTTTTCACCTGGCCGACTAATATTCTATGGGGGACAAAACCAGGTCCGGCACTACACAAAGACAGGAGTTAGAGTTTAAAGTTCTCCCTCATCTAACATACTCCTACGATCTTGCCCCCCCCCCTTTCTACGGACTACCACGTTTTCCAGAATTTGAACAGCTTTTCGTAAGGAAATAATTCACTTTCCTGACAATGCTGTAAAACATGCCTCTTGATAACAGGTCTTTATACCACTGGATTGAACAAGATACCACTAAAATGACACACAGGCATGGGCAACCTGGGTGCATACTGTGATAAATCATCTTGTTCGTGTTCGGTTTTAAAGTTTACATGACTATTTAGGCTGAAATCCAGTAACTGCCGTGAAATGACTGCGAAATATGCGCAAGCCGCCAACAGACAGTCGATACTATACAAATACATAATTATTTCCTCAGACAAAAGTTAAGTTTGTCGCTCACCTTAGATACCTCTTGTTCTTACTTCTGAGGTTGCTTTTAGTTTATTATTTAATTCAATAGCTTAATTTTCGTTTCTATTTTAATTAGAAACCGCAAACGTTAGATGAATATGCTTAAATAACCGCCGTATACTAAACAAAATTAAATAAAACGAACTTAACTAAAATCTAAACTAAATTAAATTAATAGCACCGATCCCGTAAGACTGAATTCTGCGGATTGGGGTATGTAAGGTGTGCAGCCAACTTCACTTTTACATCTAAATACTTATGAATGAAGGAAATAAGTTCTTGTGCGGCCCTTTCTTAATGAGAATCACCATTAGTGAATATACATTTTCCGACTAGAAAATCGAAATTCTACGGTCGACGAAGTAACTGGACATTATACGTCATGCCTACCACCGTAAGGAGACTACATTTAAGTAGTCTTCCACACAAGAAACAAAATTCAAAAAATTCCTCGATGCAGCACGAGTTTCACCAGAGCCATTCTTGTTTGCAAAGGGCCAAATTACAGCAGCCTGCCAGCCGAACTAATCTGCCGCGACCTTAACAGGGCAAGTAAGCTTGGCTTAAAATGTTTTGTGAGCCCTAAATGGCCTCAACGCGCTGCCTGCCGAGTCGCCTAAGTCTGCGCGGGAATTTGAATGCAGGTAATGACCTTGAGAAAGGCCATTTTTGCGGTCAAAGCGCGCGCGCACGCTCATCGTTTGCGAAAACAACAATCCGACCGTAGCAACTGGCATCTCCTTTGTCTCTCGTTGCAAACCTCGAAGAAAACTGTCATGCACGTGACCTTACCCTAAAGAACATTTATCAACTAGGCCCTCGTGTCTAAACTGTCTCCCGGTAGATAGAACGTGATTTGAGAAGAAGACGACTCGATCGCTGGGCAGTACGTTTATTCGCCTGAGGTTTCGACATCCATCGTGAATTCATCATCAGAGACATTAGCAGAAAACAGTAGCAGAAACGGGTGATACACGCACAGGAGTTTGCAGTATTTGTAAGATACAGCCATTACTGCAAATATACAGCGACAATTAACGTTGATTGCCTTCTTGCGCATGGATAGTTTGTTGGACGGCACGCGGGCTCTGACCTGTTGAACTTCCATCACGGACGGCGGACTCGGGTGTGATGATTGCTTGGCCATCTGGCCCTCCGGTGTTGGCATAGGATAACGCAATGGTCTGTCCGTTCCCCAAGTGGCGAC